AATATTCACTATTCATACTAGAAAAGAACTAACGAAGTTAGCCAGACCAACCATTAAAAGTTTTGAAATCACAGGGGGCATTTTTGATTACCTAAAAAGTTAAAGGACTAACTCAATGTTTTAAAAAACCATTTTCGACCAATTATGATGTTTTTCGAGTTTTATCCTTTACAACTTAACAAAATAAAAACCAAAACAAAATATAGGGCTCCGAATCTGTTAAATCCAAGGGTTTTAGGTCTTTGAGAACAAATTGATGGCTCGATATTTATCAAGCACTTTCTTTTTTACAAATCTGATTGATGATTCTATCATTGTTATAGTCAATCATAAAGAGCTCGCTCGATCGGAATGTTAACAGTTTGGGTTCATGCGATGCTAAAAAAAGAAAAGAGAAAGATCTACCATATGTTCTGGTATGGAGAACACCGTAGATGGTGTTCATTTCTTTCGGCATGGTGGCTTAACAATAGAATTCCAAATGTTGATTTTGTTAAAGTTGACAGATCCAAGGAGGAAGAAGAATCCTTGTGTTAAAAGTGAAAAATATAAGTAAAAAAGGCGATTCAAACAAGATTTTGGATCTAAAAATCTGAAAATTTCGATGAAGAATGACTTGAAAAATCTCCAACTAACATCAGTGAACTCCTTAGAGTGGTTTTCTTGAGGGGTTCATGTTTTCTACAATTTTGGTAACAAGGTAGACTGCTTCCTCATAATCATTACTTGCCTCTCATGATTTTTATAGTTACCAAAACAAGAAGTTGTGTTTCTGTAAAGTAGGTTTTTAGAGAGTAATCTTTCAATAAGATTACATGTCAATTGTCATTCCAGAAGTAAATGGTTTCATGGATTTGATTTCATTAGAGTTCAGTAGGTGTTATCACTTGAAGATAAAGAAAGAGTTCTAGGGACCTATTAATCATTGTATACATCTTAACCACTTAGGAAAACTCAAACTATGCAAAATTTATAGTGTATGTACTATGTAGGACAAATATTTTGGTGTTATTATGGAAACTAGTTCCCGAAAATACTACGTTATGCTCTTCAATGTAACAGACTAATAGCTAATGGACAAGTTAAGTGTGTGTTAGTTGAAAGGTATTTATGAACTTCAGTCTTGTCAATTTTCTAATGTGAGCACTTTTGAGGTTAATGAACTAAATGCCTATATCTTAAATCCAAATATAGAATGGTATATGTGGAATTAAGGGACATATGTTTATAATAAAGTGTAGCTATAGAAGATCGGTTTCTATGTTAGAATCCTTGGAGAAAATTTTGTCCATAAATGAACTTTTGTTGTCATTTATGCGATTTTATATGTTCTTTGCTAATGAACACTTTATCATGTAAAATTTTGGCCTTAAGTATGAAGTATATTTTCTATATGGAGACCGAATGTGTTGGATTAGTCTTTGATATTTGATCTTTCAATTCTTAAATAAACCATATAACTTGTAAATACTAATGTAATCATGTTCACTTGATCATTGTAGTAAATTTTGTAGTTTGTTTGTTGGTTGAGGGTATTATGAATACAATAAAAGTGAGGACCATCTGAATGCAAAGTGAGAAAGGACTGATGCCCTTGCACTTGTGTCAATGAGGTACTATTTCTCATGTCTTTTAGTATTATTTGGGTTCTTTGAGAAAAGTCAGAATGATTATTAGTAATGTGTGAAACACACACACACACACACACACTATCTCTCTCTCTCTCTCTCTCACACACACACACAAACATGACTAGTTGTTAAAATTAAGGTATTAATTTAACATTTTCTATATCTTTACTTTTTTTTCTGTCTTTCATCATAATGGAAATTAGAAGGGCTAATTTCCAAAGATTCCTTCCATTAGTTTTAAGATGCTACCACTTAAGATTGCTCATCATGAATGCTTGATGAATAATCTTTATTATTAAGTTTTTAATGTTAATTGTAATAGCTATGAGGATGAACATTGAGCTATACTTGTGGTTGATGTAATTATGGAAGCAAACCTTAATGACTTGAATCAATTGCCTAAAAGAGATTATAAGTGTAAAATCATTTTTGACATATGTACGCATTACTATAATCGTGTAGAAGTTTAATAAAAGAACATATACAACCAATCTTTTTTGTATCTTCTCTTTTCACTTGTGTAGTGGATATCTGCAGGGCTTTTTGGGGAATTCAGATCTTTGGAATCTGCAAGGCTAAATGGACGATTTTGAACTTTAAACTTTGTAGGGAACTTTGGAGAAATTGGAACTTTGAACTCAAAAAGGCGTTTTGGAAATTTGGAACTTTGAAACTTATAGGGCTTTCGGGGGGATTTGAAACTTTGAACTCTATAGGGTGTTTTGGGGAATTAGGTGATAAAGAAATTTAAAATCTATATAGGGCTTATTGAGGAATTCAGGTTTAACATTTGGCCATGAATATTATCTATCTCAAGTGTTTATGATAGAGTGTAGTAATATGGGACCACTTTCCATGTTAAAAGCCTTAAAGAAAGTTTTGTACATTCTTGAACTTTGGGTGTCATTTATGCCACTTTATATGAACACTTCATTAAACAAAAGTTTAGCCCTAAATATGAAGTATACTTCAATATAGAGACCCAAGGTGCTAGGTTAATCTCTGATATTTGATCTTTCTCTTCATAAATAAATCATATAACTTGTAAATACTAATGTAATCCACTTGACTTGATCATTGCTGTAAATTTTGCAGTTTGTTCTGTTGGTTGAGGGTATTATGGTACAATGCAATGAGGACCTTGTAAATGCAAAGTGAAAGGACTATTGGCCTTGCAATTGTGTCAATGAGGTTATATTTCTCATGACTTTTAGTCTCATTTGGGTGCCTTCATATTATATTTTAGTGCATACTTTTATGTGTTTGAATATAAAGTTTGGAGATTTATGTTGTGTATGGTAACATATTGTATAATATGTGCTATGTATGTTTCTATAAGCTCTAAATATAGTCTTACCACCTCTTTGTTTTAGTTATAACGAAAACTTGAAGCTAGGTCCTTGATAAAGGTAAAGAATTTGATGAATGCATGCTAGGTCCCGGATAAAGGTACAAAATATGATGAATGCATGATAAGTTCCTTAGTATTAATTTACAAGAACAAATAATGCATTACAAGTTTTATAAATGTATGAGACATAGAATGAAATTATGGTAGTGAGTTATTTAGAGTAGTAAGTGTTGGATCTAGGGGAGTAAAAATCAATTTAGTGTTATGTTAGGCACATTAAAGTTAAATTATTAAAGAATATAATGAATAAATGATGAGTACCTTGGTGTCAACCTACATGAACAAGCCATACATTACCCCTTTTGTCTAATGGGAAATTTGGAAAATGCAAAGACTACAACCTAAGAAGGCAAAGTCCCATGTATCAAAATCCATTACTAGACTACAACATTTTTATCCATTGTGGTTCTTTGAAAAAAGTCATAATGTTAACTAGTCATGTATGTGGCGCACACACACACTCACACTCTCATACACACATGACTAGTTACTATGCTTAGGGTATTACTATTAATTGAACATTTTCTATATCTTCATTTTTGTCAATCTTCATCATAATGAAACTTGGAAGGTCTAATTTCCGAATATTCATTCCATTTTTTTCTACTTTCTAGATCTTACCACTTAAGATTGCTCATCATGACTTGCTCAAATGAGTTATAAATGTGGGATGTTGGTTGGCATTTTTGCTAAACATATTTACTTATTTTTTTCATAAGTTTTGTGCATTAAATGTAAAGAGATTGAGCAATTACTTGTTTTGCAACATTGTTATTGCTAAAATTTGTACATCTAGAATAAAAATACATTTGTTTTCTTTTCATTTTGTATTTTAAATATTGATATTTAGAATTGAAATTTTACTAATTAGTTGCATTTTGTTAATAATCTGCAAAATATTCAAAACTCAAAGCTTGATTTAGTGATCTTCTTTTTAAATCATGCCTATTGAAAACTTGGGTATCAACTGGGGTAGGGACATTGTGATATACCTCCTCCATGTGGGACCCGTTCATCGGGACGTGGACGGGTGTCGTCTACCCTTTAAACAAGTTTTCATTTCAAATTTCAACAATATATTTTTATCTAAAATGTGGTTGGGTTTTCAAATCCTTTTATAGACAAAACTTCATTATATATATCGAGGCATTAATAGCCATTTTCACAAATTTGACTTTGAGTCTACCTCTCTTTCTAGGGTTTCTTTGTGTATTTAATCCACCCCCTTTTCATCTCCTCTAGCCGCTTCTCACTTCTTTTGATCATCTTTCCTCCTGCTCCATCATCTGCATCCGAGGTCTGTCTGTCGATCCCTTGTAGTCTCAATTCCAATTTTGTATCAATCAATTGTTGGGAGTGTGTGTGTATGTTACATTTTTAGATTTTCTAGGATTTTTTTTATTCTAGATAAACCAATAGTTTTGAATTTAGTTATTTTACTTGAGAATTTTGCATCAATGTGGCTCGATCTAATGATTGTAGCTTTATCCACCATGCTTCGGTGTATCTTTTAAAATTTTCTACTGAAAGTAAATCGATGGATTTTGTTGCTAATTTAGTACAAGCATTTGTCAATGTATATTATTTTCTGTAAAGATCTAATGTAACTGTGGGTTTTTAATGAAAACGGTCTAGAATCGATCCGATTTTCATACCAAGTTTAGTGTTAATATTTATAAACAATTGAGGTCATTTTTTTTAGAATTGGGGTATTGTTTTTCTTATGGATCTTTCATCTTTGGTAAATCTCTCTCGATCTAGTTGATGGATTTTGTTGCAAGTATTTTTCATTGGGAAAAGAGTCGTGAAAAGACAAAGAAAAAAATGTATTTATTTTAGCCAACTAGTTCTTTGTTCCATTATTTATTTATACAATAGATTATCAAGTTTATAACTTTTTTGACACCTCTTTTTATGTGATTACACAGTTCAATAGCACTAAAATTTCCTGAAGCAATATGGAAAAGGATTTATCTCAAGAGCAGAACCAAAGGGAGGTTGTGACAAAGTGAGTTATTATTTAAATAAAAAAACATTGAGGTAGATAATATTCATCTTTATTAATGACAATTTAATGGCATGAATGTTTAGGTTACCAAAGTCATTTTCGAAAAGCCCTGAAGATATCGACTTGTCACTACACAAACTACAAGGGAAGATACAGAAAAGGTTGGTGATATATGTTCTTTTATTGAACTTCTTTTATACAGAAAGGGTACATATGTCAAAAATGCTCTTAAACTTATAATCTCTTTTGGGAAATTGATTCAGGTTATTAAGGTCTTCTTCTGGAATTCCATTTGCCACAAGTGCAGCTCAGTGTTCATCTTCATCCTCACAGATAAAGAGAAACACAAAGCTAACATCCAAGTTATTATTTAATTCTCTAATCGTTTACCTCTTAAATCATACCAAAAACATATATAAAAATTAACTTTTTTTTTTAAATTTTTTGGTCTTTGTTTGTTTCTCAAGGGATCAACAAATGAACCGATTGGTATTTCAAGAAGGCGGATTACCTGATAGAACTGAACTAGTTTACAAGTCTCATGGAAGGGTATTAAAATTTTTATAACAAATAACAAATAATGAAAATCTTAAATCACTTTATTATATTCTAATCATCTAACATCTTCTTATTTTTACACTTATTTACAGGAACTTTTAAAAGGTTACAAGTGGGCCCGTGGAATATTCTGTTTTTGCTGCAATACTGTGGTACTACTTTCTTCTTGACCCCTTCAACATATAACATATTTAATAAAATAACATTTTCCTTCTAACCCTTTAAATTTATGGTTATCAGGTTAGCCCCTCACAGTTTGAAGCTCATGCTGGCCAGGCCTCTCGTAAAAAACCGTGAGTTTTTTTATTTTTATTTTTATTTTTAATTTTGTATAATTTATTTATATTGATTTTCTTTTTTTAATTATATCCAGATATGGAAACATCTTTCTTTCAAATGATGTGTCACTCCATGATTATGCATCTTCTTTAAAGCTAACTATTGGACACCTGTCAAAGAAGAATGATGAACTTTGTGGAGTTTGTAAGAGAGATGGAGACTTAGTGCTCTGTGATGGATGCCCTAGATCATTCCATAAAGGTAAAAAGATCAATACTTTTGTTTATTATAAAATTTATAGTTATAACGAATCTGATTTTATTCTTTTTGATGACACAGAATGTGTATCTGACACAAGTGCCCCTCAAGAAAAATGGTTCTGCAAATATTGTAGAAACTCTATGAAATTGCAACATTCAGAATTTGATCAAATTGAAAAAATTGCAAAACGTTGCATTCAGATTGATAAATGTGATCTTGTTGCATGTTGTATTTGCAGGTAACCCTAATTTTATAAAATTTGTAACAATTTTTTTATGCACTACAAAACTTTGCTACATCTATTATATCATTTTCAAGTCATGTAATCATGTTTGAATAACTTTGGTGTACACAGAGGATATGATTTCACCACTGAAGGCTTCGACGATCGGACTGTTATTGTTTGTGATCAGGTAAATTATAATTGTAGTAAATTACATTTTTGGTCCCTGAGTTTATCTGGTTGTTTCAGTTTTGGTTATTAGATTTATCCAATAATCCATTTTCTATTCCTTGTAGTGTGAAAGAGAATATCACGTAGAGTGTTTGAGGGAATACAAGAAGATGTATATGAATGTGTGTGAATTTGAATTTGAATTTATTTAATTACTTAAATCTCCTATTTTTTCACTCAATTTAATATGATGTGTTACAGGAGTTGCCATCTGGCAATTGGTTCTGCAGTGTAGACTGTGGAATACTTAATTTTATTCTTGAGAGATTGGTGGAATGTGGGCCCGTGAAGGTCCCTCATTCTCTTACGGGTTTAATCAAGTCAACGGTCGGTGACGCAAATGGAATCGGAATCACCAATTCCGACATGAAATGGATTGTTTTGCGTGGGAAAGGAGTTTCTGATGAGAACAGAGTTTTGATTTCACAAGCTGTTGATATTTTCCATGTGAGTATAATCTATAAATTATAAACTGCTACATAACACAAATTAATTAATTAATAACAATGTATTTTTCTTCTATCCTATTGTTGTAACAGAACTGCTTCAATCCTATTGTTGATTCAATTACTGGAAGTGATTTTATTCCATCCATGGCATATGGGTAAGTAAATATAAAAAAAATTAGTTAAACTTTCATTTTTATTTTTAGCATCTAACTTTTTTTCTTTTTCTCCAACCAATAGGGAAACAATGGGGGATTCCGACTTCACAGGAGTTCATTGTGCAATGCTAATAATAGAGTAAGCTCACACTTGTCATTTTCTATTTATTTTTATATGCTATACAAAGTTAAAATTATTATTATAATTGTTCAGGTCAAAGGTTATTACAGCTGGAATGTTTCGTGTATTTGGGGCAGATGTTGTAGAGCTTCCAATAGTTGCTACTAGCGAAACCAACCAAGGAAAGGTAAACATGCTTTTTTACACATTTTCAACATCAATTGTATGTTTTAATTTATTTATATGTAAAAAAACTTATGAATAAATTGATTGAATTCAGGGGTACTTTCAACTTTTCTTCAACTGCTTTGAGAAGCTACTTGCATATCTCAAGGTTAAGAAGATGGTTGTTCCAGCTGCTGAGGATGTTGAGTCCATGTGGATTCAAAAATTTGGTTTTCAAAAAGTAACCCCAACTCAGGTATTATTTTTATGATTAACTGGTTTCTTAATTATTATGATTATCATGTTACAGATGACTTATATTATGTCATATTATATATGTGTACAGCTGAGGGAATACAGACAAACAATGACATCAATGGTCGCATTTCAAGGAACATGTTTGTTGGAAAAGGAGGTGGTGGGGCCTCATGGTGGAGCGACTTTTCAAAATGGTTTTTGTTTCCGTCTTTCTTCTGTGTAGAAGTAAATTAAGTAATGAATGAATGGATGAATACCCTTATAGTGGATTTGTGTTTTGTAAATGGTTAAAACTACAAACATCCATCTTGGGTAAGATGGATTTTTTACTCGTTATGTTGTATGTTGTAAATGCTTTGTGGTATGTTAGAAATTTGAAACTAGTTTGGGTTTGTTATGACTTTTGACTTATGAATGTGTGTTGATATTTAGGCTCGTGCTTTGTTTCTTATGTCTTGATTGAATGAAATATGTTTTCGTAAAAAAATCCTTTATTTCGGTTTAAGGAAAAAAGAGAGTATGTTACTTTAAGAAATAGATCTTGATACAAGAGATCTTTCGCGATCATTCTCCTTGCCTCTCATCCTTTGATAATCATAAAGATCGTTTTTAAGTTTGAATTTGTTCATTTTGAATCTATTATCTTATACTTCAGTTTTATTTACTTGCTTTAGTGGGTGTTTGGGAGTGCTTCTTAAATTAAATTATTAGCTTATTGCAAGAAGCCAATAAGTTAAAAAAATGTTTGGGTTGTTCAAAAGGCTTTTTCAAATGACTTTTTGGCTAAGAAAAAAACAGAGTTTTAAAAAGTAATAAAATATTAGAATTATTGGTGTTTTGGTGGTTTTTGGTCATTTTACCCCTAAAAAGCTAAGTTAAACATTGTTTAAAACCAATTTATTGACTTTTTAGTTTTTCTCACCACAAAAAATAATCTAAACACCTTTTAAAAACTCATTTTCCAAAAAACTATAAGGCAATAAGGACTTTTCCCAAAAGCAAATTTGAGATTAAAAATACTCCAAAACACTGGTTAAATACCAATACTTTAATCTCTATTTTTGTTAATGTTATTCCTTAAGTCTCATTGAGTTATATTCCTCAACCAAGTGGAGTGGAGCATGTATTAGAGGTTTAAAAATGGTCATGGTAAAAAGTTAGTGCATAGATTTGAGTGTCTAATGCATGCATCACATTAAAGTTTAACAACTTTATTAACCTAACCTTAGGATTCTGTCTATCTCTAGTTATATTTGTTAATAATTGTTAACACCTATGATTCAAGTCAATAAAGTTATATGCAAAAAAAATTATATCAGTAATAACACATATTGATCTTTAACCAAACAATCATAATAAATTAAATAAATCTAATAATCCTATTAAAAGAGATCTATAACACCCATTGTAAGGTATTTTCTTTTCCAGTCCCTTGTGTTTGTAAGAGTTTGCAAAAGTGGTCCTTATGTTGGGCGTATAAAGTCGTATGTTGGGAGTAACTCAACATTTGAGTACGTTGGGCATACATGTGTGTATGTCGGGCGTACTCGTGCTTTCCCAAAACCCTAATCTTTGGGTTGTGACCCCTATTTAAGCATCACAATCCCTCCTAGACCTTCTTATGACCGACCTCCATATCCTCCAAACCTTAAAATCAACCCTTAGCTTTTGTGAGTGAAATTTGAAGTTTGAAAGTGATTCTTGAGTGTTCATAATAGTGATTAAGATCATTCAAGAGGTGGAGATGCATCCTAGCTTCTAGATTTATAATCTTCATCTCATTGTCTACCTTTTGAGGTATAAAGTTCAAACCTTGGAACTTATTTTGATAGATATTGTTTAGTCTTGGACTTGAGTTCATTTTGTCCCAAAGCATTAATCTTTGTGAGTATGAAATACTCCATAGCTTATAATATGTCCTTTCAGATGTTTTAAGATGTTTAGAGTCATAAAAATGTTAGTTTGGCCCTTTCCCTTCTCCCATGCAAGAGTTATGGAGTCTTTAGTGAAGTGAAATGCTATGGTTTTGGGTTTTAGTTCTTTGTAGACATGCAAAGGCTTAAAGTCAGATACTTTATGGTTTAAGATGTCTCTTTATGGTTAGATATGAAGTTTGAATACGTGTCTTAGTGATTAAGACCTTAAATAGTTTAATGTTGGAATATACCGCGTACGTCGAGCATACTTCTGCCCAACGCTCTACGCCCAGTGTAGAGAAGTTTATGTCGTGGATATAGCCTCCGTTAACTTTCTTTGACTTTTCACCAAATATGTTTTTTGGAAAGTTGTGAGGATTTTGGATATTAGGAGGGGCAAAATGGTCTTTTGCCCAAATTTTGGAATATACTTGGCTTGGGATTGGTGTAATTATTGGGCAGAGTCTAGTTTTGATAGTTTGGGTGAGAGTTCTTCCAGTCATTTGTGCAAGTTGAGTCTCCTTACTTATTGTTACCTATGTGGTAGTATAAATTTATACATATATGATGACCAGTTGGGTCTATGTACTATTACTGTGATATATGTTATCTTATGTGTGTCGAGACTTTGGGTAGTCTCTAGGGTTGCTGATAACCCACAGTGTAACGCCCGTAGATCCAGGCAAGTCAATTTAGAGGCAATATGGGTCGAAAACGACTTTTCGGCAAAAGATTATTTAGAATAAATAATTTTAAAAAAGTTATAGTATATGTCACAAGGTTTCCGTACATATAAAGAACGCCGAAATCTGAGTTATAACGAAGAAGTTATGGCCCGTCGAAGTTTTACAGCAAAACCGGCACGACACCGGGAAGCGTAAAAATTGAATTTATGATAGAAGACTTTTTAGCCTTAGTTATCTAAACCAAAGTCGTAGAGTATGTTAAAATGAGAAAATCCGTAAAAAGAACGCCCAAATCTGACTTCGTATGAGGAAGTTATGATTTTTCAAAGTTTCAACTTAGTAGTGTACAGCCCGAAACTCGAATTTTAGTTTGAGCGGTTTTTGGCTTGCGCGACCTAAATGAGAGTTAAAGATCTCAATAATAGGAACTCAACAGTAAAAAGATGGATGAAAACGGAGTTCGTATGAAAGAGTTACGAATTCTTCGCGGTCATTTAACAGTCTAAACGCCTCCTACTGTTAAATTTATGATCAGTCGAGAATTAGCCGACGGAGCCAAAATGAAAGTTGTAGATATTATTTTTACCTACGCATGGATATAAAGAACGTCGAAAACAGAGATAGTATGAGATAGATATAGATGAAGCTTAGTCGCTACTTTTCGAGCGCGACGAATTCGATACAGTTTTGTAAATCCGAAATAGAATGAGAATTAGCCAACGAGGTCTAAATGAGAGTTGAAGATCTCATTAATAGGAACTCAATGGTAAAAAGATAGAAAAAAATGGAGCTCGTATGCGAAAGTTATGGACGAAGCTTAGTCCCTACTTTTCGAGCGCAGCGAATTCGATACAGTTTTGTAAATCCGAGATAGAATGAGAATTAGCTAACGAGGTCTAAACGAAAGTTGAAGATCTCATTAATAGGATCTCAACGGTAAAAAGAAAGACAAAAACGGAGCTCGTATGCAAAAGTTACGGATGAAGCTTAGAGGCTACTTTACTATAAAACTCCTATAAATACAAGGGTGAACTCCTCATATTTTCTTCACACCATAAGCCTCTCTTTCTCTCTCTAACTTCTCTCTAGCCTCCCTAAACCCCTCCCAAGTCTACAGAACCTCCCTATCACGAGAAGAAAGCCCCGGAGCGCCCGACGGCTCCGAGAAGAAAAGCTTTCGGCTCGGAAACGCTGCTCCAACGAAGCCCGGTTTTTAATAAAAACCCATTGTAAGTGAGTTATGCCTATACTATATTTAATATAGCTTTTATTTAATTATAGTAACATTATTAGGACCTTAAAATAATTATTTGGGCTATTATTATGAGTTATATTGAGTGTTATTTAACGCTTATATAATAGTAATAATAGCTAGACTATTAATTAGTCGTGGTTAACGTTAAAAACTAAACCCTAGTGGTATTGATACTAGGTTTTGTCGAGGAAAATTGTTTTGAGATAACGAAGTGCTGTCTGAGTTCGGAATCACACCTAATCAGGTGAGTGCATAGTCCCTTTCATCTTACACATAGATATGAAGTATTTAATATAAACTACGTGCTATGTGTGCATATTATCTGAATACTTGCTGTCTATGTTGGATGAACGTTTTGTACATGTTTTAAAGGATTTAAACTGTATACGTATTTTATATATACGAATATGTGGGGTATGATGATGGGTAGATAGATGATGAGAGATAGAAGATGATGTGAGTATACATTGGCAGCTATAGACTTAGTGCCTATGGGACAAACACCGGTAGCTATGGACTTAGTACATGTCAGACACTGGTAGCTATGGATTTAGTACCTGTAGGAATTAGTAGCTATGGACTTAGTACCTGTTGAACGCTGGTAGCTATGGATTTAGTACCCGATGAGTAGGATATAGAAGCTATGGAATTAGTGCTTTACGAACTAACATCGGTAGCTATGGATTTAGTGCCAGTCCTATAACCCTGGAAGTAAGGGACTTCGGAATAAACAAATGCAGGATAGACGAATCTTAGGTTAAATCCTTAAGAGTAAAGAAGATAACGGGGATGGGTAATGGGGTTAATTGTTTGATGATTAAACATAACAATTATATTATTGTGGGTTGAAAACTCTATGTACTCACCAGGTTTCCCAACCTGACCCACTCAGTTTATGTATATCACAGGTGTTGATATGAAGTCACTTTACACTGAGAGATTTAAAGAGATGTAGATCACTAGTGTAAATAAATGTAAGTTCTGTTTATGCTTATGTTTCTGTATTAACGATGACATCCCAAACGTTTTAAGATGAATAAAAATACGTTTCTTCGAAAATGTTTTAATAACGTATTTATCGTGTTTTTCTGGGAACAAATTCCACAACCTTTTTATAAAATGAAGTACTCTGATTTTTATAAAGCATAAACAAAATCGGTCTTTTCTGGCCGTGATTTTGGGGATGTCACACACAGGGCATGTTGTTTGCCCACTGAGACTTTAAGTAGTCTCCAGGGTTGCTGATAACCTATAGTTGTTATATGTTTTGTGTTATATGTGATATTTCGGGGAACTCACCAAGCTTCGTGCTTACAGTTGTTGATTAAATGTGTTTTAGGTACTTCTGAGGATCGTGGGAAAGTGA